ATTTTTATTTTATATATTTAATTGTTTTAATAATAATATTTTTGTAATATTTATTTTATTTTATTTTTACAATAATAATACTGTCACACCATTTATCATGAACTATTAAAAAGGCAAAAGGTGATTAAAATTATGAAAATCTGACACACATTTCTACATTTTATGTACTTATGTACCACATGAGATATAGAACAATTTTAAACCATCTAACTCATTTTAAATTATTCACGTTCTGACTGAAACTCGCTCAATCAAGTAGTCTACTGATTGTGATCTGTTGCCATTGAGTAGATCCTGTATACTGCATCATTAGTGTACTTCAAAAATGTACAAGTCACAGATACAAGAATCAGCTAAACGACTTAGTAGCATAGCACAGTAGTCACCCTACCTGTCCAAAGACTGATTTGACTATGGGATGGAGGTCTGCATCAAGCGCCCCGCTGTATGCGCTCGCTCTCCCGGGGGCTCGGGTGCTACTGGGCTGAAGCGCTGGAGGTGGACTGGAGGTGAGGCTTTGACGCTCGTCCTTCGTTTCAAAGAACAGCGCGGCTTCCTCCGAGCGCTTGGAGAGGGATGAAGTCGTTCGGCTGGTGCTGGGATTCCCGTGGAGTTGGACCGGAGGGTCAGTGGTGTGGTGGTGCCGTGACGGTTTGCGGTGTTCAGGTCCATCCTCCTGATAATATACATCCTGACCGCGGGGATTCTGGACCTTCTCCGCTTTTCGTACGTGTTTTGATTGGCACAGGGGTCTCCTGGCGGTGGCATCGCACTCTTCGGTCCAGCACGAGTCTCCGCCGCCGCCACCTCCCGTGTGCCGGTGCCCGTTGCGGTGGCTCGCGGGGTCCGCGCGGACTCTCCGGTTGGTTTTGATCAGGGATGTGGTGGATTCGCTTTTTGGAAGCGAGGAGCTCATTTTGACCCCCCCACAGACTCTTGAAGATTCACAGTTGAGTCAGGTATCTTTAAAAAAAAATCGGAATATTTAAACGTGTCGTTGGGCAGCTGGGAATCTCTGCGGTGAACGCTGAGTGAAGGACTTTATAGAGCGTGAGAGACCATCGCACAGGTCGCTCGCGCGGAGTTTGTTCGGTCCCTCGTGACCCAATTTAGCGCGCGCTGCCACCAAAATTCAGCAAAGTGAATCTCTCTCTCTCTCGCTCTCTCTCTCGCTCTCTCTCTCAGGATGAAATTTTGGAAGCGAGGAGCTCATTTTGACCCCCTGAGTTGAGTCAGGTATCTTTAAAAAAAAAATCGGAATATTTAAACGTGTCGTTGGGCAGGTGGGAATCTCTGCGGTGAACGCTGAGTGAAGGACTTTATAGAGCGCGAGAGAGCATCGCACAGGTCGCTCGCGCGGAGTTTGTTCGGTCCTTCGTGACCCAATTGAGCGCGCGCTGCCACCAAAATTCAGCAAAGTGAATCTCTCTCTCTCTCGCTCTCTCTCTCGCTCTCTCTCTCAGGATGAAAGTTACATCAAACTGCCTCGAGAAACCATTGAAGAATAAAAGGACGTGAAAATATTAATGACGGTGTGACGTGCGCAGGTGAACGGAATACAGTGACGGGAAAAAGACATTGACAACAAATGATGAGAATGTTCTAATTATATATGTATTAAACCTTTACAGGCAGTTCCATAGTTTAAGGCATTGACTACAAAAATATTTTGAACATTTGCATCATTAAAAAAATGGGTCGACCTCGTGACAACATTCCCAATAGCAGATATGGAGTAAGCCTATAGTTTTTAGTTGTCACAATGGGAACCTTGCTGTTTATTGACATTGATCTGAGAATACGTTTTTTGAAATATATTGTACAATAAAAACAATATGCAATATATAAGTTGCTCTATTGGCTTATGGCTTTTCAGTAAAAATTAATAAATTGCTCTAAATGGTAATATACAAACATGCGGATCCATTTGTTTTTCTTAACAAAAAGTATTGAATATAACAAATATAAAAATATGACAAAACACAAGTGACAATCTGTTTTAACTAGTGATGTCAAACGATTAATAGCGATTAATAGCATCCAAAATAAACGTTTTTGGTTACATAATATATGTGTGTGTACTGTGTATTTTTATTATGTATAATACACACACAGTATATATTTTGAAAATATTTACATGTATATATTTATATAATTTATATGTATATATATATAACATATTTTTCTTAAATATACATTATTTGTGTGTACTTATATTTACATAACAAATATACATAGTACACACACATACATTATGTAACCAAAAACGTTTTTTTGGGGGGGGATGCGATTAATCGTTTAACAGCACTAGTTTTAACTTTTTAAATATTTTAAATTACACTAAAAATGTGTTTAGCCTGCTGCTAAGGAAAAATTGTGCACACTAATACAACTGTAAAGATAGAAGAAAAAATTCTATTTACAAATTTAATTGCATTTTGGCAAGATATGTTCTTCAAACCAAGGGCTTCAATGCCAAAAAAAAATGAATGTCTGAATGTCGACTGTGAGCCATATATTCACTAGTCAAAACATCCCAGTGCTTTGAATCCTTTGTAACTGATGTACAGCTACAGAACTGCTTATCATGCTTGTTTTCTGAAGGACAGTCACATGCGGTAAGTTTTGATTGACACTGCAGTCAATCTGAAGTGGCTGTACTCTATCTTTACATAATTTAAACTTCTTTCACATTTAATGACTTGTTTCCATGCAGATGCAAAACATACTGTGTGAGCTACATAATGTATGCAGGTTGGCTAGAAGTAGATGAGATGTTTCCTGTTCAAACAGGACCATCGTGAAGTCCCATCTGCTTGCGCTCCTTCAGTCTCGGAGCAGCTGCGCAGGGTGTTCAGGCATTTATGTGCATTATGTCACTATATATGGACCCAATTAAAGAAGTAAAAACTGTGTCTAAACAGTGTGTAAGATGCTGGAAAGTGGAGCAGTCTCCTGGGACTTTGTGTTCACTGACATCCGTCTCACTCGCTCCAGGGAAAGATGGAATCTTTTGCTTCATCTCACCATCTCTTGCCCCGCATTACTTCCTCCTTTCTTTTTGATTGACATAGCTCCTCTGGTCTCAGCGTAACTCCTGGAACACGTACTGTGACTTTTGGGATATTTTGCTTTTGCTTGAGTTGTGTTTAACTCTTTTCATTCAGCAAAAAATTATGAATTTTTGGTTTCTTTAAAGAGATACTCCCCTCCCACCTCTCTGTCTAGAGCAGGGGACACTAAAGCCCCAGGGTTCAATCTGGCCCATTTGCATTCAAGGGAGCAACAAATAAATAAAAAATAAGATGTGTTTTCATCTCACACTCCAGTAAACAGAAAAACAGACTTCGTTTCATATGCTACATTATCACACTTATCAGATGCGCTTTAGGTAGGTACTTTATATGATAATCAGGTGTTTGCAAGAGGTTTGCAAATCTTTGACCCTGAAGTATTAAACTTTGGGCTCATACATTTTTTTGAAACAAATATAAAATGTAGATACTTTGAATCATGTGGCTTGCCACAGAGTTACATAAAAGGAACTGGGCTTTCTCTATGTCAAAATATAGATTTGTGAACTTTTAGCGACCAGACAGAACATCTAAGCAGTAACTTTTACAACCTGAAATGCACCCACAGCACTTTAGCTTTGTGAAAAGCACTGTTTTCTTTACAAAATGCACAAATCTAATTTAGCTTTAATTTAGCATTTTTAGTTGCAGTTACCCTACTTTTCAAAGGTTTAAGGGTAGTAAGATTTATTAAGCTCATTTATTTATTACACATAATGCTGCATTTATTTGATCAAAAATACAGTTCCTATTTTAATACATTTAAATTTAAATGTTATTCCTGTAATGCAAAGCTGAATTTTGAGCATCACTCCAGTCTTCAGTGTCACATGATCCTTTAGAAATCATTCTAATATGCTGATTTGCTGCTCAAGAAACATTTCTTAGCAATGTTGAAGACAGTTGTACTCCTTAATATTTGGTGGAAACCATTTTTTAGGCTTTTTTGAATGAAAGTTGAATAGAAGAGTATATTTATGTGAAATAGAATTTATGAATGTCACTTTTGACACCATACACACACACAAAGACACACACACACACACACACACACACACACACATAGTGTAAATCTTAAGAATATTCCATGCTTAATTGAGTGCAATTATGCATGCACTCAAGTCTCATTTCACAGCACAAATAAATTTTATGTGAATTCTAGGGGTAAAATATAAAGTATTTTAAACAGCAGGTCTTTTCCCTAGTAAATGAGCCTGTAGTAAAAATACTAGTTGAGACTAAAGTACTTGTTGTTCCACTTGATAACATTTAGGCTAAAATTTCAAGTGCTCATCTTACAGTCTCTGATGGCTCAATTCCGTCAGCTCATTTTTCAGACTTTCCTGTTTGCAATACGCTCAGAATTTCTTAACAAAACACTCCAGGGTGTTCAACTGAGAAACTACAGCCAAAGCACTTACCAGAAAGCAGCATTTGTGTGCTCTTTTTCAGGAACGATGTTGCCAGTCAACTATCTGGCCACGGCTCACCCTCTCAATTATCCCCGTCTATTGGCACTGTTTACTGCTTCTGAAACATTCATGTGATGGGTTAATAATTGAACAGTCAGCAGCTTGAGACCCATGAGCTTTTGAAAGTCCGAATGTTGTACACTTCTGCTTTTGTATAAACACATCAGTGCCGCAAAGTTCAGCCAAATATGAAGGCATCATTAGCCAAATAGCTTCACAAAGGCACAATGTGTTGCTCGGGTAATGAGCTTTATAAACAAATGAGTGAATATTAAAGTTCTAAAACATTAACGAAGATGTCCCAGATGCATAAATTAAACATTATAAAACATAAGCATGTGTAAACCAGAATGCCAATGGAACAAGTTCTTATCTAGTTTTTATTAATATTTTGATTTTTTTTTTTGCATTTTCTATTTAATTTAAATAATAAAAGTTTAAGTAATTTTATTGTAATTTTTATTTAATATGTCTGTATAGCCTAGTTTTTATGAATTGTTTATTAATTTAATTTTTTAGGTATTTTAGTACGTCAAGTTAAACTAAATTAAAATACAAAGAAAAATGTTGCCTGGGTAAGTAATTGAAATTTTTCAATGATTTATTTCATTCCTGTTTATGTTTATTTTATTATATTTTAAGTAAATATATAGTTCAGTCATGAAACTCTAGATGGCGCATTCTGACGGGGTGATATTCAGAGTTAAACGACTTGGCACAAGCTGATTGGTTCATGCTGCATATGCACCCAATGAGCTTACTGCCTATGCTATTTGTGCAGCAGCAGTATGTCTTAAATACTCATGGCAACGTATCGCCATATGCATTGGCAGTAGCAAGATCCTGTACTTGTTTGCAGCAGCAGCAATAATCTACAACTACAGCAATAACCAACAGCAGCAGCAATTCAGCAGCAGCATAGCAGATCTGTTCCGCCAAGACCAAATACATTAACATTGTCATATCCATCACCATGCTAAAATGTTCCGAGAGTTGTCATAATTTAAAATTCCATTTTTTATAGTTTTAGTTTTAATTTTAGTTTTTGTTAACTATAATAACCCTGCAGTGGCGTTTCTATCATAGTTAGAAAATGATCCAAAAGTACTGAAATAAATATCCTAATGGAGAATTTAATAGGGTTTGGACAAATAAACTGAAAGGTGATTCTTTGATCATATTAGGATTGATTTTAAATTATGATTCCATTCAAATAAAATTGTTTTGACAAGGGTTAATTGGTCAGATTTGGACTCAAATGCTTTGTGAGGTCACAAATATTCTTATTGCATTCCATGCAATTTAGACTGCAATGCATTTTAAAACACTTTTCTCTCATCTCATTCATTAATATATTTATTTTTTACCCTATCCCTGTGTATGCAGGGCTGACTCAGTGGAATGAGGATACTTTTGGAAACCATTCACACTTGAGTGGAGGAGAGATGTGCAC